AGGGCCTGTGAGTAATTTTGCACGCTCCTCTGAGATGAGGACCTGTGGCATGTTTGGGGGTAAAGCAGGACTCGGAACTTGATAACCACCCCTGAGTGGAGCTTTCTGGCAGGGTCCCAGAGGGCTCTGAATTTCCTGTAAGTGTGGGAGAATTGTCAGAAGGGGCTTTTTTTGGGTGGTTTCTGCAGAGGCAGCTGGTTCATGGGTGACAGCGGTATCTGTCCACCCAGTGTGTTTTCCTGGGCCAGGAGCTGGTGGAACTTGAGTGATGGTTGGTGGGGACCCCATAGGCTCCCAACAACATCATGATGGGCTCCCCACAGCACCACCAGCCCCGTTTGGCAGACACCACAGGCCTAGCCTGGTTCCCAAGGGAACCACCCTGTGTTGGCACAGCGATGTCACCGTGTGCCAGCGTGCACAGCTGATCCTGTCATGAGGCTGCCAAAGTCCACAGTCACATAGCTCAGCCAAGGACAGTGGTGGGACCATGGGGACATCCCAGCAGAGCCCTGGCCCGGCTGTTTCTTAAAATAGCCCTGCTCGGGACCTGCCAACTGCCCCAGCCAGATGGCTCTTCCCCAGGTACATGTGGCAGCTGCTTGGGTTCTCCCTGGCCTGCACCGAGGTGAGGAGCTTGGCCTTAGGCTGGACAGGACAGCATGGGTTTGGCCCAGGCCAGGTCCTTGTCCCTGGAATGTGCAGGTTTTGTCCCTTGGCTCTCGCTGGTAAGTGTGGAGAGGATGGCCTCTCTTCAAGCTCCTTTCAGCCTTTGCTGGGGGTACCCCACTTCCATGGGGTCCAGGCCACCCTCGTGCTTGCTCAGGAGGGCGATGTTTTGCTTGAGTTTCAGAGTCTGAGGACCAGTTGGCGTGTCTCAGGGCACCGGTCCCACTGCAGGGCTCAGCGTGACCCCATACAGCATGGCCTGTGTGTGGGTAATGTGCCTGGTCCTCGAGCACAGGCCCGTGGGTGGAGGAGACCAGGATGTCTGGTTTCTAGAGGTGCTGGGGAGCCGGGTGCCTGGCCGCGTGACCTGCCCCCCGGAGGGCAGAGAGGACCTCACTTCTAGGAGTCAGGGGGCCCGGCTGGCCAGAGCCGATGTTTGGGAACCGTGGATTTCCAGCTCAGGTGGTCTGAGCCGCCATGACTCAGATTTGCTGCAGTCTGGAAAAGGTTCCTGAGACACAGTGACGTGCTCTGTGTTCTCTTCCTGTGGCTGCTACCACAAGTAACCGCACACTCAGTGGAGGCTCCAGGGGAGAATCTGTTTCTTGCCCCTTCCAGCTTGTAGTGGCCGCCTGGGCTCCTGGGCTCCCTCAAAGCCAGCCCCGCAGCACCTCCCTGTCCCTCCCTCTGACTCTAACCCTCCTGCCTCCCTTTTGTGAGGTCTGTGTGATGACTTTGTGCCTGCCTGGGTACTCCGAGATAACCTCCCGTCTCAAGACCCTTAACTGCAAAGTCCCTTTTTTTTTTTTTTTTGTCCTTTTTGAGACCGGCCGCACCGCGCTCAGCCAGTGAGTGCTGTGAGCGCACCGGTCATCCCTATATAGGATCCGAACCCTCGGCGGGAGCGCTGCTGCTCTCCCAGCACTGCACTCTCCCGAGCGTGCCATGGGCTCAGCCCTGCAAAGTCCCTTTTGCCGTGTAAGGGTCTGCAGATGAGGACATGGATATCTTTGGGGGACGTTGTTCAGCTGAGCATGCTGTCCTTAAAGGGCACTAAGCCTGTAGCTCCCCAGCTCATGGCCGCAGCCACAGCAGGGTCATGGGCCCGGTACTTAAGGGGTCTGCCACCACGTGGCCCACCTTGGAAGTGGGGCAGGCAGGGTTTCTGTGGCTCATTCCCGACTTGCTTTCTGAGTGTGGGTCATTTCCATAGAGGGGATTGCTCAGTTCAAATGCCTAGATCTCAAAGCTGAGGGGACCCTAGCAGGGGGGCATTTGGCCAAGTGCCCCACCCCCATACGCAGGCTTCTGTGTCTGGAGAGGTGAAGGGGAGGCCCCAAGCCCTTGAGCCTTGAACTGACCTGCTGCATCCAGATATTGACCCTGGCCAACAGCAAACAGTGCCCTCCGCCTGCGCTGCCAGCACCGCCGGTCACCAACACAGTCCCCTCCACGGCAGCCTCTCAGCCACCAGACAGCGTGGCTTCAGAGATGGGAAGGGCTTGGGGCTGGGGTCAGCATTGCCAGCCCCTCTTGAGAAGGGTGCCACTGGGGAAGGGTGGCGAGGTTTCAGAGGGGAGCCAGCGTTTCTGGAGGGAGTTAGGACTGGGAGAGGCCGGGCCGAGCACTAGGGTGGGATGCTCATGTCTGAATGTTCCTGTCCACGCAGCAGGAGGGCGATAGGAGAGCCGCCGTCATGTCACGTGGGAGGTGGGTGTGAGCAGGGAGGCCCAGGCTGTTCAGGGTCGGGCTGTCCCTGAATGCTCGTTCCCAGCCTGCCCTTTCCTCTGGCGTCTGTGCAGCCAGCAGGGCTCCTGGGCCACCCGGGGGGCAGACGCTCCTCCTGGGCTGCAGGCACCGCCTGCCTCAGCTGCCCACCGGCTTGTCCTCCCCAGCCAGGGCTCTGAGGGCAGCTCAGAGTCCACTGCTGTCTGTGCAGGGTCACCACAGCCAGCGTCTCCGTTAGCCGAGGGGTCAGAGGCCAGGCCCAGGATGAAATCAGAGTTACTCGCCAAGCCCTGGGATGTTACAGAACCTCCCAGCTCTTACTAAGCACCTACTGTATGCGCTGCACCATGCTCCTTGTGGTTACTTTCAGGGACTCTCACGGGGGTCTCTCAGGGAGGGATCTGGGCCCCCTCGGGTGGGTGCTGCCCGTACTGCCCTGCCCCGCAGGCGTGGGTCTGTCCCCCTCCACAGGAGGGTCCTGGGTCCTGAGACCTCCCACCATGCCCTGGGGCCCTCTCTCCTCCCCAGCGGCTCTGTGCGGTTTGTGTTTAAACTTCTCCCTGCACGTCACCCAGCCTTCCTCTGAGGGATATGGCCGTGACTTTGTGACTTCCTGGTGCAGGTGGGAGGTGCCTTTGGTGTCATTGGTCTTCTCTGAGGCAGCCTTGGGGCTTAGGAGGGACCCTGGGGTCTCCCTGGGTGGAGGCGGCTTGTGCTTGGAGCAGATGGCCCTGGAGGTCCCAGCGGAGGCCCTGGCCTCCTGTGCTGGTTGCGTGCCATTTCTGCATTGCCGAGCGCATTCTCGGAGCGTGGCTCGGCCGCAGGGTTTCCGTGTGTGAGAAGCACAGCTTGGCGGATGGGCACCGGGCACCGACACAGGCTTGGGAGGCCCGGGGGTGGCTGTGAAGGGCTGCGCCCCGTGTGCCACCTTTGGCCCCTTCAAAAATATGCTCAGATGGCTGGAGTTTTAGAATGAGAGCCTCAAAGGTGGGCGTTTTAATGCGGACAGAGGGTGGGAACCGGGGGGGCGGGGCGGCGTGGTAGGAAAGGCCCTGGTGGTCAGAGTGGACACCATAACCCTGTCAAGCAAACCAGAGAGACCTCAGCTCTGTGCAGTACCTGGGCATGCCCATCCTGGCCACCCAAGCTTCCCACACAATCGAGAATTTGTCCCTTGAAATCATAACGTTTCTTGCAGTGCGCCCACGCCGAGTGGGAATCTTCCGCTGGCACTTGAACCAAAGGTAGCTTTCCTGGCGAGGCACGGTCAGCGGTCAGGGCCTCTGTGGTTGCCCTGGCCAGGGGGCCCCAGACGCTCGCTCGTAGCTGAAATGCAGAGCGTCTGTGCGCCTGTCACCCACTCGGCGGTGGCCCCGGCAGCCGGTCCGTCTCTGGTCCGCCTGGTTGGGGAGGCTGGCCCGAGGAGCAGGCGTGGACGTTGGTGCCTGAGTCCGGCGCTCCTGTCTGGGCCCCTGCCTGGGCAGCGGCCCCCTCCCACCCCGTCTTTGGTGTCTCCCGGGCAGTCTGCACACACAGGTGTCCGGCGAGCCTGTTGTCCCCCCTTTTCTGCTGCTCTGCTCCGTCTGCCTCTGGTCACTGCCTGGCCTGCCTCAAGGCCTGGTTTGGTGGAAGTGGGCCTGAGGGCCGGGTGAGAGAGAGGCCAGGACAGCCCGAGCCTTCTGCACACCTGAGTCAGACCTGGTAGCCAGACCAGACCAGACCAGAGCCAGGGGCCTCCTGACCTGGGGACATGCAGTACTGGCCTCCCGGTCCCCACACAGGGAGCCCGTGGGGGGTGGGAACCCCAGGCTGACCCCACCTACTCTAATTTCCTAGGGCTGCTCTAACAAAACACTGCAAACAGGGTGGCTTAAAACCAGAGAAAGTTCTCTTCTCAGAGTCTGGAGGCCAGGACTCTGAAGTCCAGGTGTCAGCAGGGCCGCCTCTCTCTGAAACCTGTAGGGGAGGGTCCTCCTGGCCCCTTCCTTCCTGTCTTCCACTGCTTCCTGCGATCCTTAGCTGTGGCCGCCCCGCCGCAGTTTCTGTCTCGTCTATACCAGCCCTTCTCTGCGTGTCTCTTATCAGGACACCAGGCATTGGATTTAGGGCCCACCCTTATCCAGAACGACCTCATCTTGAACCTTACCTTATGACCTCTGCAAAGACCCTGTTTCCAGATGAGGTCACTTTCTGAGGTTTCGGATGGGTGTGAATTTGGGAGACACTGTTCAAGCCCGCACCCCGGCCCTGCCCTCTCTCCCGACGTTTCCCCCGCAGCCTGGGCAAGGTCATTGTGAAAGTTGTCAGTTTCTCCTTTTGGGCTTGTGGGCCGTAGCAGAGCAGCCGGTGCTCCCCGAGGGCATTTTCTGGGTTTGGACTTAAGAAAATAGCGTGTGTCTAAGCTCAGTCTTAAAAGGCGCTGGGGGCCAGCCAGGGCGGGAGGACGGCCCCTGCCTTCTGTCTGCTCCGGCTCCAGCGGGCGTGGGTGAGGGGCTCCGGGAGGGTTGCAGGTGTGGCCGATGAGGAGGCTGGGGTTCGCGTCCTCGGGGGGCACAGCCCTGGTGAATATTCTCTGTTGACCCTGTACCCCCGCTCCTGCCCAGATGTGGACGAGTGCCAGGCACACAATGGCGGCTGCCAGCACAGGTGCGTGAACACCCCGGGCTCCTACCTCTGCGAGTGCAAGCCCAGCTTCCGGCTCCACACAGACGGCAGGACCTGCCTGGGTAAGTGTCCTCTGGAGACCCCTGCGTGGGCTCTGGCTTCTGCTGTCCCCCCATCCTCCTGGGTGTTCCCAGGTCTGGGCAGTGGGGCAGGGGGCTGGCCAAGGAGGACTGGCCTGGCAGGGAGGTGGTGTGAGGCCACTGTGGCCTGCAGATCTGGGCTTCTTGGGCTCAGGTCCCCTCCTCAGCCTTGGGGAGCCTGGGGGTGTGGGCTGTGGCAGGTGGGGGAGGGGCCACCAAGCAGCAGGACCCAGACCTTCACTTCTGCTGCAGGGTCTCTTTGCTGTGGGGAGTGGATGGAGTCCCTAGGGACACAGACTGCAGTCTGAGCAAGCATGGGAGGATCAAAGGCGGGGGTGGGGGACAGCACCAGGTCCTTGAGGTATAGTAGCGGGGCTGAGGTTGACACCCCACGGGCTGACTCTGGAAACACCGGGGTCCACCCCCACCCCAGACCAGCCCCCAGGGTCACCCTTCTCCAAGGAGAGCGTTGCCTGAGGCGACCAGGGGACTCCAGGCTAAAAAGCCCCAGCTACAGACTCCCAGAAGTCCCCCAGCAGGCAGCAGGCTGGCTCTGGACACAGGTCTTGCAGTGACAGGGCTGACCGCTCCCATCAGCCTGTGTGGGACGTGTGTGGGGCCATTCTCTCAGGGGCTGAGGGTGGGATGCTGGGTTTTCCACCTTGGAGACCCAGAGCGGGACCCTGAGCAGCCTCCGCCCTGGGCCCGCTGCTATATGGCAGGGTGTCCTGCCAGCCTTGGGGGGCCCTCCCTCTGTGCACACGCAAGTCCCGCTGCCACGCGGGGAGCCAGACGGCTGCCCTGTGAAGTCTCCCTGGGCCGGAAATTAGAAACAGATGCAGGAATGTTGTGTGCACTTGAGGACGACCGAGACAGGGGTGCGGCCCAGCCTGCTGCCTGCTGGGGGGCTTCTGGGAGCCTGTGGCTGGGGCTGTTTAGCCTGGAGTCCCCTGGTCCCCTCAGGCAGCACTCTCCTTGGAGAAGGGCGACCCTGGGGGCTGGTCCGGGTGGGGGTGGCCCCCCGCTGTGAGGGACCCAGGGCCAGGGACCCTCGCTCCCTAGTCTTTGTCTCCACTATCTGTACCGATGGTGGTCTTCATCCAGATGCCGCCAAAAGGCTCGTGGACCAGGACAGGAAGAGTAGATAACTTCAAAGGGGAGGGACACTCTTTAGGGCTTTGGAGCGTCAGGCAGTGGCTGCGAAGAGTAGCCTTGAAGCCCGGGGGTGTCCCTGAGCCTTTCCCTGTCCCCAGCCCACCCCACCCCATCGCTGTGCTGGCCACCTTCCTGGAGGGGGACCTTCTGGGGTTTGCCTCCCAGGAGCTTTCCTGGGAGATGTCTGCACATCCAGGGCCCCTGAAATCTTGATTTGGGACACTTGCTTATTTAAAAGGGTCTTTTCAGAGTCAGGTGCCAGGGCCCTTGGGCATGGTCTGCACAGCCTGGCAGGAGGCTGTTGGGACCTCTCAGCCCCCTCTGGCAGTCACCCCCAGCCCCGTGCACCCTGTTTGAGTGGGTGGGCTCCTGGTTTTTCCACAGCCTACTTGGGTGCCAGTGCCCACCTCCTGGTATTCCTGCTGGAGGGCCGGGTGACACTCCTGTGTGCTGGCCTGTCCCCACTGTGGGAAGTGCTCATATGTTCAGGAGTTTGGCTGGATGCAGAGAGTGACCTCAGACTGTCACTTTCTCTTGCTGGGACTGCGACTCCCAGCGGGGAGTGTACACCAAAGCCTCACTGTGGTGATACATCTGAGAGCTTCTAGTGCCGTCTGTTTCACTCCTAAAGGATGCTGGGAGAGGCTCACTGCACTGATGTCACCACCCTGGTATGGGTGGCGACCCTCACTGTGACAAGCACCGCTCTGGTGACTTGGGCCCACCAGCCTCTGGCAGAGCCAAGTTGGGGAGACGCCTTCCCGTACGCGCAAGTCCCCTGGTGGGAGTGGGGCACGTGAGGATTACCCCTGCTCTGAGGCCGCCCCTGCCTGGGCACCACCTGGAACCTCTACCCGGTGCTCCTGGGGCACTTTGTCCCCGCTTGTTCCTTGCTCTATGGTGGTGTCTCACTCTGGGTCTGTGACTCTGGCTGTTGGTGGCAATTCCTGGGAGCGACACCTGCCAGTGGGCAGGCGTGGGTTTGTGGGCCTGGCTCCACCGGGAGCTGCCTTCCCCGTGGATGTGGGGTCTCCTGGGGGCTTCTTCCTAGGCAGAGTCGGGAGTGTTTGTTCCAGGGGTGCCCCGCCGTCTTGAGCCCCTTCTTGTTGCTGAAAGGCCCACCCCTGGCTGCTGTGGACCTGAGATGCTGGCCTGGGGGGATAGGGTAGCTGAGCAACTCGGGTCACAACTGAAGGGCTTCCCTGCCAGAGAATCTCCTGCCGTAGCACAGTTGGGCCCAGTGGAGGGCACTGCCCAGTCCATGCCAGTCTGCTTGGACTCTGCAAGGGGGAGGGGGCTGGACCTCCAGCCACTGGGAAGCATAGGACCCTTCCCCCTGCTGCAGCCCTCCCTTCCCCACTTGGGACTCCCAGGGTGCAGCGTGTGGAGTCTGGTTCACAGTGGTACCCTCAGCAGACTCTTGTGGGAAGAAGTAATCTAGGAACCGTGCCCCTCCCCTGCCCCCCCCGCCCCGCCCCTGCCCCAACCTGCTGTGGGGCAGACTGCACAGCTGGGACACAGCTGTGTGGAGCAGATTGATCCCCCTAGCGGGGAGGGGTGCCGTGAGCTCCCCTGGGGCTTTGCAGGCACCCACAGGCCTGAGGCCCTGCAATCTTGGGCTTGTCTCCAGCAACTTGGAGTGCAGATTACAGAGAGGCCAGGGTGGAGAGGGTGCCCACAGGGTATGACAACCTTCTGCAGTAAGGGTTGGGAGCTCTCAGAGTGTTGCCTCATCGAGGGCAGGAGCGATCTGGGAAGACCCCAGGAGCAATCTGGGAAGACCCCAGGAGCGCTTGGGGTGGCCTTGAAACACTTGAGGGGGCCTTGAAACACACCCCCAAGGCAGGTAGAGGACAGGAAATGCACAACCTCCATGTGTCCCTCTCTTCCAAATGATCTTATGGAAATAAAACACATAAAGGTTTCCATTCCTAAAAGTGAGAATTTACAAAAAGGATTTTGCGCCGGCTCAGATGCTCCGAGAAGTGGCTGGGCCTAGAGCCAAGTCCCCCTGCCCTGACCGCCCCAGGGGAAACAGAAGCATCCTGGGGCTCTGTGCAGGCCAGGGTGCTCTCCTGGACATGTCCCCTGGTTTCTGGGTGGGAAGAGCAGGGCCCAGCGAGGCCTGAGGCTTCGTGCAGGCCTGCTTCTCACCCTCGGGACCTGCTCCAGCCCCTTTCCTGCCTCGCTATGGGAAGCAGGGCCTGCCCAGAGCAGTGGTTTGGCTGGCACGTCTAGGAGTGTCCTTCGTGCTTTTTGGTGACACCTTACGGAGCACCAGCGTGTAGAACCCAGAGAGAATGACTCCCAGGTTGTTTAACACTGTGCTGGGGGAGCCCTCCACCTCTGGGCGGCTGGGTGCCCTGAGCCAGCACAACACCCACCCAGTGGTCCCAGAGCCCGGGCTGTGTGACCTTCTGGACCCTGGCGTTGAATGTGGCTGTTTCCTTGTGTCCCTGGGTGGAGTGGTAGAGGGCAGAGGGTCCCTCCAGAAGCAACGGCCCCAGGCCGGCCCCATGGAAGGGATGGGCTCTCTGGCCTCCTCTTCTTGGCCATTAGGACTTTGGGGAGGATTCTGCAGCCAGTGTGCATCTCCCTGCGGCCTGGATGCCCTGCCTGTGTCTCCTGCCCCCAGAGTCAGATGGGCCCTCATGCGCCCATGGCTGGAGCCAGGCCTCGCTGCCTAGCTCTGCCACACGTGTCGTGTGGCCTCAGGGCAGGGCCTTCCCTCCCCAGGCTTGGGTGTCCCTGCTAGGACAGGGAGGGGCTACGCAGACCATCCAGCCTGCCCCCTCAGCTGCTTCTTGGAGGGGAGGCCCTGGGGGAGGCCACACAGCCCCCGGTGGCTGCCGCTGGCAGCGTCACGAGGCTGGAGCCAGAGCTGCAGGCAACCGAATGGGCTCATCTGCACAACTCGGCTGCGCAAAGCCACAGATGTGTTCTGCCGGTGTTTTCCTGTCCCTCCAACCCCCAAACAGGCTGCAGTAGCAAAAAGGGAGTTTTCCCAACCTGGGGAGGCCAGATGAGGGCCGGCCCGCACTGAGCTGGCGACAGAAGCGGGAGCGGCAATGGCTGATGCGGCAGCCCCTGCTTGGTCCGCAGGACCACCCAGGCTTCCACGTGCAGGGAGGGGACCAGTCTTGGCCTTGCTGGAATCCAGGACCCTAGAGGTGCAGGCTGAGGCAGAGTAGGGGGGCCTGGGCATGGGGGGCATGGGATGGTCACACCCTAACCCAGGCTGGCCAGGGTGGAGGCCACAGACCCCAGGCTGGGGCAGAAACCCACAGTGGAAGGCAGGGGCCAACGGGGCCTGGCGGGGCAGCCGAGCCGGGCGTGGAGGGAGCCTGTGTGACCCGGGCTAGAGCTGGTGAGCAAAGGGTGAAGCCCAGGCAGGGCCTGGCGTGGGGCGGGTGGGAGGAAGGAGGGAGGGGCTGACCGGGCACACACCTCTGGGGCTTGCCCGCCTGCCTGCCCGTGTGTCGGGCTGGGCGCCGCGTCAGCAGTGGGTTACGGTCCTGAGGAAACAGATAAGGCCTGTCCCCCAGAGCTTGGCATCTGATGGGTAAGACCTCCGAGGACCACCTAAATGACAAACAAGGTGCTCCCCTAAACGCTCTGGAGGAAGTGAAGCAGACAATGGGGGCTCCTCTCCGAGATGGGCGGCGGCGGGGGCGGTGAGAGGGTCCGCTGTGTCATGTGCAGCCGTCTGCTCCGGGGGGCCCAAGGCTGGCCCGCTCTGTCTTGCCTCCCTCAGTTCCACCTGCTGCAGTCCAGGCTCTGCTGCCCACCGCTCTGCAGAAGAGCCTGGCGTCCCTCGAAGGCTGACTGGGTCCCTTTAGCCTTTGTCTCTAGGGCCCACCTGTCACCTTGGCCCGTCAGTGTGAACCTCTGCAGCCAAGCATGGGCTGAGCTGGCTGCCTGGGAAGGTGGGGCTGGGTGGGACAGTCCAGGCCTGGCTGGGGGCCAGGGGGCGCAAGGCCAGCACAGTCTAGGTTCATGGAGGGAGTGGGGCCGCCCTGCTTCTGCTGGAGGGCCTGGTTCTCTTGCTGGCGGGGGTCGAGGAGAGAAGACCACGTTGTCAGGGGCCACATTCTGTTGTCGGGTCCTGGCAACATCACGGGCTCAAGGACAGCCATTTAGGTGGGCTACAAGTGAATAGTGCCCTTGTGTCACGGAGGCCCCACTTGGGCGAGGGGCAGGATGCACAAGGCGGGGAGCAGTGGGCAGGCTGTGAGCTGCCTTTGGGGGGACGGGAAATTGCCTCCCCCTGTCCTGCCATCCTGGTCCGGACCCCAGCACAGCAGAGTGTTTCCTAGAAGTAAGGGCTGCGGGTGGCCACCGACCACAGGTGGTGTGGGGCTCTCAGGACCCAGAAACGAAACCAGCCCGAGGGCGTTAATTATAAAACCTCATGAAGCCAGCAGGGACCAGATCCTCCTAGAGCCTGCCCCGAAACCACTGGGCAGGGCTTGGTGGCATGAGCAGAGCGAGCGTGGGCTCGGCACGTTGCGGGTGGCTCGCCTCCCACCGCACAGCCCCAGCCCGGTGCAGCGCCTTAGCTGAGAGCTGGGATGGCCAGGGCCTCGCCTGCTGAGCACCTCGCCATCTGCCGTCGACAGCCCCACCTGCCCTTCCTTCACTGCACCTGACCTTGGTGCTGGGGCCGTGGCTCACGCCCCGAATCCATGCCCAGGCCAAAGGCGCTGCATCCTGTTGCCAGGATAGCCCCCAGAACGCTGCACCTCCAAGAGCAGAGAGCACTGGTGCAGGCAGCGCAGGCCTTGGCCCTGTAGGGAACTTGTTTTCTACCATGCCCGGTTTCCTACTCAAGGAAGGCCCTGCGAGCCTCACGCAGAATGAGTGGCGATTCCTGCTGGCACAAGGTGGAGTTGCAGCTCTCATGCACCTGTCCTGGCTGACGTGGTGGGTCCTGGGATTTGCAGTCTGGGGAGTCTGGGTGCATCAGTCTGCTCGGGCTTCCATAAGAAAGTCCTCCTGGCTTGTGGACAGCAACCTTCATGCTGTGCCCTCACATGTCAGAGAGAGAGAGAGCGAGAGAGAGAGAGCTTGAGTCTCTTCTTATGAGCACACTAATCCTATAGGATCAGGACCCCACTCTTATGCCCTCATTTAACCTTAATTACATCACTAAAAACCCTATCTCCAGGCTGACTGGTTAGGTCTGTTGGTTAGAGTGTGTTGTGACAGCACCAAGGTCAAGGGTTCGGATCCTTGTACCGGCCAGCTGAAAAAAAAAAAAAAAGACCCTATCTCCAAATACAATCGCATTGGGGGTTAGGACCTCAACATATAAATATTGTGGGGACATCAACATTCAGTCCTTGATGCAGAATGTCCCCCACCTACAGTCAATTGCGTCTGATCTGGAAGTGGGCGGAAACCTAAGGTGGGCAGAGAAAGAGTGGACGTGCAGGAGGTCAGGCTCCCACGCCCCGGCAGGACGGCTCCCGCTGTGCCGCGGGGACTTTTTTCCTTCAGTATTATATTGGAAGGGAGAGAGAAGATGGGAGTTGTCGAGCCAGCTGTGTGAGCAGGTGCCCGTCCACAGGTGAGGCAGGTGAGGGCTGTGGGTATGCAGGGAGGGCCTGTGCCCCACTTGCAAGCAATTCCTCATCCCTGTTCTCTGATGGACGGCCTCAGCTTTGCACAGGTCTGAGCTGAGTCCTGATTTGCAGACCGTAACCAGGCATGAGCCCTGGGCCATGTGTGTCCCACAGCTGGGACTCACAGTGACTGGGGGGCCTGGAAATATCCCCACATCACTGGGTCCTGTTCACACAGAGCCCAGCCCTTCCCTGAGCTGCCCAGTGCTGGAGAAGATATGCCTCGTTCAGCTTTCCGGGAACCCACAGCAGGATGTGCGGGCTGACCCTGGGCTTGGCTCCCTGGTGTGCACAGCTTGGGAGCATCTGGAATGTCACAACTTTGTGGAGGGGAGCTGGGAGAGGAGGGGTTCCAGAGGGACCCCCCTAGTCTCCCCACCTGCCCCTGGTGGGCTCCAGTGGGCCCAGTGCCTGGCCGTCCCTGGGCCCTTTTCGGGGGCTCTGCCTTTCTGGAGGAGCTGATGGGGAATCCCCTCTCCAGCCCTGCCACGGCTTCCCAGGCCTGTGTCTGTGGTGCCTCTCCCTGCCTGGCTCTCCTGCCCAGGGCTCTGCGCTCCTCTGAGCCTGCCTGGCCCTGCCAGAAAGGGCTTCTGGTTCCTATTACATGTCCCGAGCAGGGATGCAGTTGGTGCTGTGAGCACGAATAAACAGATTCCCCGGGAATGTGGGGCCGGCTCAGGCCACGCTCAGAAGCCTCTGGAGTGATGGCCAGTGGCTTAAGCAGTGCCATCTCAGGCGAGGCCGGCCAGACCTGGGGTCAGGGCAGAGTTGGGGGTAGGTGGACGAGAAGGGGGCTGAGAGGCTGCTGTGGCTCCTCCCTGCAGGTGCCAGTGCAAGTGCGATAGGGGACGGAGTAGTCACTGCCCCTGTGTCCTTCCCCTGGGGCTGGCTTTGTCCCAAAGAGGACCCTCAGCATGGGCTCCCCACTGATGCCCCATGTGGGGAGACAGGGCAGTATCTGATTGCTGTGGTTTTTTAAAACAAGCTTGTTTCAGGGGAAGCTTTGCCTTTGGCTGGCCATGTGGGGGGCCCCACCTTCTCCAGGCCCCGAGGCGACTCACGCACTCCGGCCACACCAGCCCCCTTGGCCTCAGAGGGCCCGCTGTTTGGGGGTGCCAGGCTCCTGATCCCACGTGCTGGGGTGGTAAATCATGTCCCTGAACTCGGGCCCCTAGGCCAGCCACCTCCTAGGGATGGTGGCATTCCCCCCAGGAGGCGTTCCCGAGGAGGCAGCATCTTGGGGTAAAGCCCAGCCCCCCAGAGTCACAGTGCTTTAGTAACAGGGCTCAGGTTGGCTCCGGCCTGCAGGCACGTGGCCTCATCTCCCCGGGCACAGGCAGCTGCACATTCTTGTGGCTTCCCTCTGAGCTCAGGCCGGCACCCTCCCTAACCACAAGGCGGTTGCCAGAGACTTGGTGGCAACTAAATCCCCACCAAGGAGGGGGCTGCTGCTCCTGGCAGAGGCCCAGTGCCCACCCTGGGTGCCCAGTCTGGCCCAGTGCCCTCTCCCCACCACCCTGAGAATGCTGAGGGGCTTGGCTCCAGTCCACCCACTGGTACGCAGTCACCCACTGAGCCAAACTGACTTGCAGAGCCTGTGCCCTGGAGGGGTCCGAGTGTGAAGGACTGAGGTGCCGTGCCCACACCCCTGGGAGGGGTGGGCAGGATGTGCTCTGGTCCCTCTGGTGCTGGTGCCAAGCCCTTCCTCTCAGGCTTCCCAGCGGCCCCTGGTAATCTGTGCTCTGCTGGGGGTACTGGGCTTCCATCGAGGTGGGGCTTCTGTGTCCAGCCCTCAGGCAGGCCAGGGCCAGGGGATCCAGGGAGACAGCCACAGTCCTGCAGACCCTGTGTGTGGGCTGAGACCGTGCAGCCAGGCCCGTGAGCCCGGCAGGAAGCACTGTCACCCTCCCCAAACCCCAGCTTCTGGGGTGGGAAAACAGTCCTGGGGGCTTCTGCAGAAGATGGTTGCTGTGTCTTTTCTGCTGTGTGCCGGCATCCGTCCGCCAGCCGCCCTTCCTGGGCTGACCTGGGCTCCTCCCTGTGTCCCCAGCCATCAACTCCTGCTCCCTGGGCAATGGTGGCTGCCAGCACCGCTGTGTCCAGCTCACAGCGACCCAGCACCGCTGCCAGTGCCGGCCTGAGTTCCAGCTGCAGGAGGATGGCAGGCGCTGTGTCCGTGAGTAGCCGCCAGCCCTGGGATGGACGGAGGGAGGGCCGGGGCTGGGACCCTGCCGAGCTCCCCCCATGCCCTCCATGAACCCACAGACCTGCCCAGGGACCCACAGCCTGAGCCTGGGCAGACGCAGGATGAGCCCCCCTGCCTTGGCTGCTGGGACGGGCAGCAGATCTCTGTGGGGAGCCCCCGTGCCGCTGTGATGCCTGGTGGGCTGTACGTCAGGGCTGTGCTCTGGGGTGGCGCATCTTGGGGGCAGGTGCCCAGGACTAGGGCTGAGGCCCAGCTCCACAGCGGCCCACCCGGGCTTGCTGCGCTCGGGTGGAGGAGGCAGGCCAGGCCCCATGGGACACTCCCCTCTGCTCGCATGGAAGGAGGGCTGTGCTCATGGCAGGGCGCAGACTCAGAGGCCCCCCAAATGTGGAGATAGAGGGCTGGAGACAGAGGAGGGTGTGAGTGTGAGAGACTTTGGCCGGTGGTGGGGACAGAGTGGCATGGGTCACAGGGCCGGGGGGGTCAGAGCCCTGGGGCGGGCCCCGGCACCTCAGCTCTGACAAGAAGGCTGCTGGGAGGGGCTGGCTGCCCCCACCTGACCGGGGCGGGCCTGGCTGCCCTGCTGGGAAGTCCTCCTTTGGGCCTGACTCTCACCGTGCCGTGGGCTTCCCTGGGAGTCCTGAGTTCTGACTTGACATGGGTGGGGTGTGGGCTCCTGGGACTTGGGCGTCCCAGGGGCTTCCCACATCTGGGAAGAGGGAGACCTACCACTTAGCCCATCAGGCCAGAGCAGAGAGGGGTGAGAGTGCTGGGGGTGGCTCCGGGGCAGGTGTCGGCGTCCCCCTCACCCCCCGCCTTCATTCCTCGGGCCACGGCCGCAGGGAGAAGCCCGTGTGCGGATGGGAACGGCGGCTGCATGCACACGTGCAGGGCGCTCCGGGGCCTGGCCCACTGTGAGTGCCACACGGGCTACCGGCTGGCAGGGGACCGCAAGGCCTGCGAAGGTAGGACCAGGAAGGAAGGCCAGCAGGGCACGTCCCTGGCACTGTGGAGGGACCTGTGTCTGACTCCGGGGCCACCAGACATCATGAACTGGGCCTTTTGGGGGCAGGTCTGGCCCCGTCCTGCCCCCCTTGGGTGCCTGGGACAACATCAGTGTCATCCTGCGCCGGGGGTGAGGGAGGGGGCGAAGCCCACTCAGGAAGATGCTCCCAGCCAGAGTCGCATTTCACCGGGAGTGAGCGAGAGAGCTGGGTTTTGTTTTTATTTGTAAAAGTGTTTCTTGTGTTACCTGAGCAAAACCCGCTCGTTAGAACAGAAAAGAGATGGTGAGAAAAAGGAGGGGTCGCCCCTGAGGAGCCTCGGGAGAGCATCTGGAGCACCGGCTTCCGCTCCTCTCCGCGGCCGTTAGTTGACGTGCTGCTTGGGCTCGGGGCACAGCTGGGCGCTGTTTTCTGGACACGTTCCTGTATCCTCAGCTGCACCTGCTGCATGGCCGTGGGGTGCTGGCCGATTAACCTCATGCCTGCACGTGTGTGCACTTCTGATGCTCCCCTGCTGAGAGCAGGGCTGGGAGGGGCAGCCCCGGGCAGGGGTCCTTCCGGCTCCAGTGACCCTCAGGATGAGTCTCTGAAGCAGCGAGGTGCATCCAGGGCAGGCAGTGGTCAGTTTCCCAGGTGTCCTGCCAGATGGCCACAGGTGCCCACAAGTGTGGAGTCCTGCGGTTGCACCTTTACCAACACCAGGAGGTCGTTGCTGCCATGAAAAGCCAGCCCTGGCTCTGGGTGCCTGTGGCTTTGACAGGCTCAGTATGAGACGGGGTTGAGGGTCAACTTCTTTGCCCTGAGGAATCCAAGGGGCCATGACCATAGCAGTGGTCGGGATAGTGGGATTCGGTCCTGACCACCTGTGCCACGCAGCCACAGCAAGGCTGATGGCCGAGCCCTAGGGGTCGGCTGGCCATGCACCCTCTGCTGCTGGCCCAACAGGCGGGTGGTGAAATGGCCCTTCCCAGCACTCCTGAGCCCTCCCCTTGGGTCTCTCCTCTCCAGATGTGGATGAATGTGCCACGGGGCTGGCCCAGTGTGCCCACGGCTGCCTCAACACTCGAGGATCCTTTAAGTGCGTGTGCCATGCAGGCTACGAGCTGGGCGCTGATGGCTGGCAGTGCTACCGTGAGTGCTCAGTGGCTGGCAGCAGAGCCTTGGGGCTGCGTGTCCCCGGGATCCCACTGGCTTGCTTCAGCTCCTATTGTGGGACCCCTGGGGGGCATGGGGAGGGCAGGGGTCTCAGCCCCCATCCCATGCGCTGGGTGGCTGGTCTTGTGGCAGGGATCGAGATGGAGATTGTAAACAGCTGCGAGGTCAACAACGGCGGTTGCTCCCATGGCTGCAGCCACAGCAGCACGGGGCCCCTCTGTACCTGCCCCCGTGGCTATGAGCTGGATGAGGACCAGAAGACGTGCATCGGTGCGAGCTGGTTCCTCCCAGAACTCATGGCACCCCCAAACCATGGATTTGCTGTTACCCTGAATCCGGACTGGTTTGAGTTCCCTCCTGTCACCATGCATTCTGCCCTGGCTGCCCAGGCTGGGTCGGGTGTTGGGCTGGGCCTGGCGAGAGGTAGCATCAGGACCTGAGAAGGACCCTGGGTGCTCGCATTGGCCCACTCCACTGGGTACCCACCCACCCTCTCCTCCATCACCCGGTGAAGGCCCCACTGGGTGCAGCACCCAAAAGGCTGTGGCTAGGGAGGGTCCTCTTTTCACAGGGAGACCCTGACTCCCCGATGGACTCCTCACCACCCTCCAGCTCCCAGTCCCAGCACCTTGTTCACAGCAGGCAGGGTGGCCCTGGGCTGTGACAGGTCCTGTGTGTGTGTGTGTGTGTGTGTGTGTATGCAGGGCCAGGAACGTGCATGCATGAGATTGTCTGCAACGTGTGCGGTTGTGCCAGTGTGTGTGACTGCGTGGGTATGTGTGATCGTGGGGGTGTATGAATTGTGTGCAGGTATGTGAGCAGTCAGCTGTGTGGATGCGTGCCGCTGTGCGTGGGTATGCGGGCACCTGGGTGCCAGCAGGCTCCTGGTGTGTGCCCGCAGATGTCGACGACTGTGCCAACTCCCCATGCTGCCAGCAGGTGTGCACCAACAACCCCGGCGGTTACGAGTGCGGCTGCTATGCCGGCTACCGGCTCAGCACCGATGGCTGCAGCTGTGAGGGTGAGTGTTGCCCTGTGGAGGGCAGCTGGGATGGCCAGGACCAGGGGCCACCCACGGGAAGGACACAGGCTGGACTCTGGCCCTCCCTCAGTGGGCGTGGCGTCAGCCCTGCCCTGAGCTCCACCTGTGGGTGTTGGCTGAGCTCCTGCTGTGGGTAGGGCTGTGTGACCTGCTCGCTCCCTCTGTCCAGTCTGTAGTCACTGGCTGCTCTCCCAGCCTGGCCTCCTTCAGACAGGTGTGTACTGCGTCTGACCCTGGGGACAGGAGGATGGCCACAGAGGCTGTGGTGGCTGTGCGGTGGGCTTTACCCGCTGGATTAGGGAGACAAGCTGCTTGGCTCCCAGCCTGGCTACCTGGACCTCTATCCAGCACACAGAGCCGGGGTGGGCAGGCTCTCCCGAGTCCCCGACCTGGAGCACAGGCCCCAGCAGCCCGGTTTGCCCGCAGATGTGGATGAGTGCGCTTCTGGCCGCGGTGGCTGTGGGCACCACTGTGCCAACCTGGCTGGCTCCTTCCAGTGCTCCTGCGAGGCCGGCTACAGGCTGGACGAGGACCGCCGGGGCTGCACCCGTGAGTCTCCCTGGGGCACCATGCTCCCTGCCGTCTTGGGGTCTACTCCCAGTAGCCCCTGTACCCCCACGTACATGACTGCCTCCCCCGCACAACGTGGGATCCTGCATCCCCTCACCTCTCTGGGTCTGCACCGTCTCAGAGGCCGATGGACCCTGCGTGGACTCCACTGTTATCCTGCCTCCTGCTGTGGGACATTTGTGGGGCCACAGGGTTGGGGAAGGGAGCTGGTCAGACAGGTGTCCTGACAGGGCAAAGTGTTACTGGGAGGGGGTCCTGAGGGTCCAGCTTCTGCCCTGACCAGGTGAGAGAAGGGACCATGCCCTAAGGTTATATTGTCCCTGGTACTGATGGCAGCTGCCCTATCTCCCACCCTCCAGGCTCCAGAGTCCCTAGGGCCAGGGCGGAGCTGGGATGGTGCTGGGGGCAGAGGTGGCATGGGTCAAGTCCTCAGGGCCTGGGGCCTTCTCTGTCCTGAGGAGCAGGGTTAGGAATTTTGCGGGGATGACCTCTGCAACCAGGGGTGGGGGTGGAGGAGGTCGGGGGGGAGAGGGGTGGTGGGTGGTCGGTTGAGTTTGGGGGACTCAGGCCAGCCCTGCCCAGCGTAGATTTATCGGGGCAGTGCAGCCTCTAGCCCTGGGGAGGGCAGGTGGGCAGCCGGGGCTAAGGGGCCTCTGTGTCCCTCCCCAGCCCTGGAGGAGCCCACGGTGGACCTAGAGTTGCCCACGGTGGACCTAGAGGTCCAGCTGCCCTTTGTGCGGCCACTGCCCCACATCGCGGTGCTCCGGGACGAGCTGCCGCAGCTCTTCCAGGACGACTACGGTGGGGCTGACAAGGAGGAGGCGGAGTTGCGGGGCGAACACACGCTCACAGAGAAGTTTGGTGAGTGGCAGCCCTAGCTGGGGGCCCCTGCTCTCAGGGACAGCAGCCAGCAACCCCTCGGGCCGGGCTGAGGTCCGCTCTGGGGTCTTGGGTGTGAGGAACGACCCCTGCGATCGCCTTGTTTGACCAAGGCCCAAGTTTGAGCTGCTTGTTTAGTTTGCACGGCTTGTCCGGGGCTGGGCCTGGGCTGGGCCTGGGCTGTTCCTAGGCTGTGTGGCCCTTCCTGGCCCCGCTGGGAGCCCTTGTGGGCTGAGGACATTCTGTGTGTCCTCTTCCCCGACCTGAGGGCCTGAGCCCAGCTTCTGTGCCTGCTGAGCCTGGGCAGGGCCTGAGGCCGGGGTGAGGTCCTGAGGCCCCTGCCTGGTCTGCCCCCAGTCTGCCTGGGTGACACCTTCGGCCACGACTGCAGCTTGACCTGCGATGACTGCAGGAATGGAGGGACCTGCCTCCCGGGCCTGGATGGCTGTGACTGCCCAGAGGGCTGGACCGGGATCATCTGCAATCAGAGTGAGACTGCTGGGTGGGGGCCGGGGGGCTGGGCAGGGGCATCTGAACCCCAGGACCTGCGGGCCGTCTGTTCAGCTTTACTCCTCCCCGCCAGCCCTGGGCAGAGGGGTCCATGCATTCCTTCCTTCCTTCTTTCATTTGTTCCTTTGACAAGTGTCCACTGACTGTCCCGTCCGTGCCAGGCATTGCTGTAGGCAGTGGGGTGCCCTAGGAACAAGCAAGCTGCGTGTTTGTCCCATGTGGGTTGTCGGTCTCTGGAGGTCCTGCTACAAGCAAGCCAACAAATAACTGAGGCAGTGAGGGGGGGAGTTGTCTGCTGAGGTCAGCTGGTGGGTGGGCTCCTCTGGCCCCAGGTAGTTGGGACTGTCGTGCCTGTCTCCTGGTGGGAGCAAGTTAGCAGCTAAAGCGCGTTTGAGAACTGTTCTCTGTCCAAAGCCTCAGGGGTGAACTGGAGGCCAGGGCTCTTCTCCAGGCCCCGGTGACTGTCTGTGAGGGTCTTCCTGTTGAAAGGGCGGGTCAGAGGGATGTGCGGGGGTGTGGGCACTCGGAGGGAGAGGAAGCAGTGATCGATTAGCGATGTCTGCCGTGACTGTGGGTGGGGAGGTGGGGTGCGTGTGCCTCACGAGTTTCTCCAGGAGGTTTCTGAGTGGGGCACCTTCAGCCCCAAGAGAGGGGGTCTCACAGTGTCCATGGCGAGCACTCCTGCTGGGTGGTGACCGTGCTGCTTCCCTGTTGGCCCCTTAGCTTGTCCTGAAGACACTTTTGGGAGGAACTGCAGCCTCTCCTGCAGCTGTGAGAACGGCGGGACCTGCGACCCCGTGACGGGGGCCTGCCGCTGTCCCCCGGGTGTCAGTGGAGCCCACTGCGAGGACGGTGCGTGCAGCCTCTCCTGGTGCCTCTGGAGTTGCCCCTGGGGTGTGAGGGAGGCAGGAGGTACCAGCCCTCAGCTGCCACCAGCTTCCACTGGAGTAGAGAAGGTAGCCCTGGGCGTCCCTCCTGGCCTCCTGGCTCTAGAGCACCAGGCTGTTGAAGGGACGTAAGGCCCGTGAGAGAGAGGCATCAAGTTTTCATTGTTGCTAATTTTCTCAGGCCTGACCATAGCAGATGGTGAAGACTCAACAAAACAGCATTTTGGCATGGGTCCCCTTGAGAGGTAGTGAGCCCCCCGTTCCTGGAAGCATTCAAGTGTGGCTGTAGGATGGCTGGGTGGGATTTGCAGAAGGAATCATGCATGGGCCGGTGGCTGCCTGGGAGGGTGCCGATGTCCTTTCTAACTCTGAAGTCTCAGCATTTTTAGAGGAATTCGAGTCCACATAGTTTAAGATTCCCAGGTGGCCAATATTCCTCTCTGAGTCTTTAGACCTTTGAAATTCTGCCTCTTTGCCTGGAGAATGTAGCTCACGTACGGTAAACTTCCTGCCTGGGTGAGGTAGCCATCAGTGAACCTGTCCCTGACGCCCCTGGAGCTTTGTGGCTTGTGTGCGGAGCTCTGTGGGGCTGGCAGCCCCACACAGGGCTTCCTGCCTCTTCCTTCCCGGTCAGTGTCCCTGCCTTTCCTCCCTTTCAATCTGCCATTTCTATCCTGTGGGAACTCACTGCCCGTTAGAGGCCATGTGAGGGGTGGGTTCTGTACGATCTCAGGGGCTCTGGCAGGTAAAGGGTCTGAGCCTTAAAGCTTCCGTTTTGCAGCATGCACATGACCTGGGTCTCAGGCGGGGCCTGTGGGAGGGTCACCAGGCTCCCCAGAAGCTAAAATGGACCTGTGCAGGTGAACTGATGGAGGGGAGGCCCAGGAGAGGCCTGGCCAGCCAGTTCCAGGGACAGGGGACTCATCGGGCCCGTGCAGGAGCTCCCAGGCCCTGGTGTCCTGGGCTTGTGGCTGCATCACTCTGGTCTCTGCCTGCATCCTCACGTGGCCGTCCCCTCCTTCTCTGCCTTCTCCTCTGTCTCAAATCTCTGTCTGCCTTTCTGAAGAGGACATTTGTTGCTGGATTTAGGGCCCACCTGGATAATGCAGGGTAGTCTCACTGTGAGACCCTAGGGATTCGGTCAAGGACATAGCTTTTGAGGCTGGGTCCACTGCAGCCCCGTCAGCAGGAGGAAGGACCTGGGGCAGGATGGAGACAGAGGGAAGCATCTTGGGAGGACAAGTGAGAGCCCCTCTCCTGGCCCTGGGGCCTCCTGATGCCTGGGCCTGAGCCACTGGCCAGCTGGGGCTGTGTGTCCTTCCTGATCTGAGGTCCAGAGGTCGAGCTCGGTGACCTCTGTGGGACAGAAGTTAGGACACCCCAGTTGCGGGTCAGTTGCCAGAGAGAGTGGGGTGTGAGCTTTGAATTTCTCTTACGTGTTGCAGAGGAGTGTGCTCGGCCGCCTCCCTTGCCACAGGCCCTGCGGGGACCAGCCAGCTGGGGACGCCACGTTCAGGAGGCTCGTCTCGTACCCCTGGCCTCTCCCCAGTCTGCATGAGGTCCTGAGGTGGCTGGTGGCCCCAAAGCCCTCTGGCCATGTCCCCTGGCTCCCTTTCTGGGGGCTGAAGCCCCCTAGTGTCTCCTCATGTGGCGCAGCCATGTGTGGGTGGGCTGGCAGCTCCCTACAGCGCTCACTGGGCCCTGCTGTCCCCCAGGCTGCCCCAAGGGCTTCTATGGCAAGCACTGTCACAAGAAATGCCACTGTGCCAACCGGGGCCGGTGCCACCGCCTCTATGGGGCCTGCCTCTGTGACCCGGGGCTCTACGGCCGCTTCTGCCATCTTGGTGAGTCCCACCGCCTCTGCCAGTGTCTGAAGTGGCCACAGAGGGTGGAGGGGACCATCCGTGCCTTACTTCCTGCAGCCGGTGTTGGGTGGGTGGTCCCAGCCTTGTGGCACCACCCAGCCCTGATCCAGGCAGGCAGGTGGGCTGAAGGCGAAGGCAGGGGGCAGGCCTCTAGCGGAAGCTTCTGGGGCATGGGGTTCATGCTGGCCTTTGGAGATTCCTGGCAGTGAGGCCAAGCCCTGAGCCCCGGCTGGGTCACCCTCTGCAGGGTCTGCAGACACTTGGCGAGGGAAGGGAAGGGGGCGCTGGGCTGGTAGAGGAAAGGCGGGTGAAGACAGCTCCTTAGGTCATTCTGTAAAAGGGCTGCTTAGAGTGGAGAAAGCTGGGATTTTCCCAGCTGGGAAGTGGCATGACCTGGGGCTTCTAAACCTCACCGAGACCCTGGTTCTTGTCTGTAAAGTGGGCACAGTTGTCCCCGCCCCCTGGGCATGAGCGAGGTGCTGTGATTCCCAGACCTTGCCTGGAAGGGGCGCGGCTGTGAGGGGTTCGTCACCATCGCCCATGCTAGTCTAGGGCTGCGTGGAAACAGGGCCCTGGGAGGGGGGCACCGTGGGTGGGCAGGACCCCTCACAGCTGTGTGGGTGCAGCCTGCCCGCCGTGGGCCTTCGGGCCGGGCTGCTCGGAGGAGTGCCGGTGCTTACAGCCCAACACGCAGTCGTGCGACAGGAAGGATGGCAGCTGCTCCTGCAAGGCGGGCTTCCGGGGCGAGCGGTGCCAGGATGGTGAGTGCACATGGGGGTGGGAGCAGGGAGGGTCCCGGGGTCCACGGGACCCGCTCACCCCTCCCATGCCCCCGCAGAGTGCGAGCTGGGCTTCTTCGGGCCGGGGTGCCGGCACGCGTGCACCTGCCCACCAGGCGTGGCTTGTGACCCTGTGAGTGGCGAATGTCGGAAGCAGTGTCCTGCCGGCTACTGGGGAGAGGACTGTGGCCAAGGTGAGTGGCTGGCCCCTGGGGCTCCCATAGGTCCAGGTCATCTGGCCCGCCTTGGGAGGTGGTTCACAGAAGTGCTGCACAGCTGGAGGCTGTCACCTGGTGACACCTTTACCTGCCCTTGTCACTGGTGGGTAAAGGTCAGCAGCAGGGCGGCCACCGGTCTGTGTTGTAGAGGCTGCTCATGGCAGGAGCTGGTCTGTCTGCCCGGGGCCTGGTCCAGAGAAAGGGACCGGTGCCTCTCCAAAGTCCCGCACTCCCTCACTCCGTCACTGCACCCGAACACACTGAGTGCGTCGTGTGCTGGAGCGGGGGCAGGAGCTCCTCCTCGTGGGGTCTGGGCTGGAGGTGCAGCGTGGGACAGCAATGGGAGCCCCTCCACGTGGGCGTGTGGCCCATGCGTGTGAATGGGCACAGAGCCCAGGTGCCCCACATTCACATGGGGCAGAAGAGGAGGAGCCACCAGGTGTCCCTGGGAGGCCTGGCTCTCCAAAGCAGGGCTGGGGGGGGCGCCCCAGGAAGTCAAACCCTGACCCTGTGGGCAGCCCAGTGTGCATGGGGCTGGAGGCTATGCCGATGGGCTGGAAAGGTGGGGCACCGTGGCTGTCACCGCCTGGAGGAAGCGGCCCAGCTCCTCAGCCTGAGCCGGTAGGAGGTGGGGACCGTGGTGTGGACCTGGCCGAGTGCATAACTAGCCTGTCTGTCTGATGCGTGGGGCTGCAGGATGATGTCTCTAAAGCCATCATGTAGTCTCATGACCAGGACAGGAAATACCTAAGTGTTGTCATTGGCTCATGGGGAAAGGAAAAAAGCCCTCAGCGTGAGTAACTGGACCGCTGCAGCGGGCACTGACAGGGCTCAGCCGGTTCGAGCCTCCTTCGGCACAGCACATGTTGTCCACGCCTAGCCATGGGGGGCCTGTGGTGTGACCAGCATGACTGTGGCCAGGGCTGGAGAAGAGCCGTGGAAGCCTGGTGCCAGCACCCCTCCTCTGCCCTCCTAGGGCTGCACCAGGGGGCCAACCTGGATTCTTAGGAGCTCTGTGGTCTCAGGCTGGCGTTCAGCAGCTCTGAGTTTCTGTTTCGCCATCTGCACAGGCGTCACGAGAGCTTGATGAATCACACTGACACAGGACTGAGGCTCCTCCTGACTCACCCGGCATCTTCTCTCTGCCCCACCACCCCTGTCCCAGCCCCCCCTCCACATATAACACATGCATGTATGTGCACACATGCATGGGCATGCAAACATGCACATGCATATACACAGATGCACACATATACACACGCATGCACACATACATGGAGATACTCTTGCACAACACACACACGTGCATATACACAGATGCATGTGTGTGCACTTGCACACATGCATGCAGGCAGGCACAACACACACACGTGCATATACACAGATGCATGTGTGTGCACTTGCACACATGCATGCACATGCACACACACACATGCATGTACACACATACACATGCAGACAGACACGTGAACACACACAATTATACACACAGGATGCACGTTTGTAGCTCCCCTGCCCTGATGCCTGTGACCCTTTTAGACTGTCCCCCTTCATGCAGGGGACAGCAAGGAGGCCCCCCCCCCACAAAAGCGCCCCCAGCATTTCTCTGGCAGCCTGTTTGCTAAGGCCAGAAAGGGCCTTTCGGGGGCCGGCCCGGTGGCGCACTACTACAGTGTGCCGCTTGGGAGCACGGCGGCGCTCCCGCCGAGGGTTCGGATCCCACATACAGACCGGTTCCCACTCACTGGCTGAGCGAGGTGCGGGGGCAACACCGAGGGTTGCGATCCCGTTGCCGGTCCCGGTCCGGTACGGGCGTGACACTGAGGGTTGCGATCCGTTGCCGGTCATGAAAAAAGACAATAAGGAAAAAAAAAAAAAAAAAAGAAAGGGCCTTTCGGCCCCAGCCCTCCCCACCGTCTTTCTTTTCTTTACTTTTTTTTTCTTAAGGCCTCCAGTGCCCTGAGGATGAGCCACAGGAATGACACTCAGTTTATAGAAATGGTGGGCTCCTGCTTGTTGTTAGGTCTGGAAACAATTACTGCCTCAAACATGTGTCTGTCCCCAGTTAGTGGTGGGGCTGCTTCAGCCACACAGTTGCATGGGCTGTGCCAGGGCCCCGTGCACACCTGTGTGCTGGGCTCAGAGTCCTGCTGACGTACTGGTGTCCCTGGTGGGTGCGCACGGGGATGGGCCCTTCTAACATGGACTCACCATGGTGTCTGTTCCCCGAGCCCCTCTCAGGCCTCCAGGCCCAGGCCTGGAACCCTGCCCATCCTGCTGACCCCTTCCCAGGGCTCTCAGCCCCGCTGTGGGGCATGTCGACCCATGGGCTCTGTGATTCTTTGGATGTGGAGTGTGGGGCTCTCGTAGCCCACCCTCCTGAGGCTCCCACGAAGGCCCAGGGCAGGGTTTTGTGCCAGCAGCAGGCCGGGCCCCAGAGTGGCCGTGCCACACCATGCTGGGCAGGCAGGAAGCCTTCTCTGCCACCCAGAGCTCCGGCTCTAGCCTCTCGCTCTGCTGTTCTGGGGTGGGGAGGCCGAGGCCAGGCCCTGGGGGCAGGACAGTGTGGGGAATGTGGAGGGAAGCTCTGCCATCCCGAGCTGCTGGGCCCTCCTTGGGGCGGGGCCCGACTCCGCAGCACCCACCTTGTTTCCTGAGGCCTGCAGCGGGCCCAGGGCCTGCCTGCTCCTCCTCTCAGGATGCTCTGACTTTTTGGCCTCTGTTCTCCCCAGTGTCTCACTGACCTGCTGGGTGGAGGGAAGAGACTCCAGGCCTCCAGGGCCGCCACGCTCTTAGTGTGCAGAGCACTCTGCCTGCTGCACCTTCTCAATCCTGTCCTGCAGGGAGGGGCCCCGGATCTGGGTGTAAAGTGGGTGGATGCAGGTCATGCCCGCAGCCTCTGGGGCTGATTCCTGTGAGGAGCTCCCAGTTGGGTGGGGCAGGGGAGTGAGAGGGGCTGGGCTGGCACCCCCAGGTGAGGGGCACTGACCTGGCCAGCAGAGGTCCTGGAGGGTGGTGAAAGGAGGGTAGAGAGCAGCCTGCCCTGTGCTCCTGGGAGCTCTCCAGGGTCCTGGACAGCCGAGGCATGCGCTGCTCCTGCCTCTCTGTGTCCAAGAGACTGCCCTTTGCCCCCTCCCTGCCCATTCCTGTGACCTGTCCTGGTCACCCTGGGTGCCCCAGCTGTGTGCCACAGACCCTCTGGAGCTAGAGCTGGAGCAGGTGCCAGGGTGGGGGGCACACTTACCAGGAGCCTCTGTAGGGGAGAGGCTTGGGTTGAGCAGCTCTGCATGCGGTGGCTGAGGCCCTTCCTCAGACCCTCTGGAGCTAGAGCTGGAGCAGGTGCCAGGGTGGGGGGCACACTTACCAGGAGCCTTTGTAGGGGAGAGGCTTGGGTTGAGCAGCTCTGCATGCGGTGGCTGAGGCCCTTCCTCCTTCTGCAGAGTGCCCAGCAGGGACGTTCGGTGTGAACTGCTCGGGCTCCTGCTCCTGTCAGGGAGCCCCCTGCCACCGGGTCATGGGGCAGTGCCTGTGCCCGCCAGGGAGGACTGGGGAAGACTGTGGGGCAGGTGAGTGGCAGTGGTCCCCAGTCCCCTTCTCCCTGGGCTGCATGACTCCAGAGGGCCAGTTTTGGGCCAGGTTTGGGGACCCCAGCTCTGTAGATCCTAGGCCCGTCTACAGCAATTTTGAGAGTGCACGGTTATTGGACCGTGGGTATGGGAGTGGGGGTCCACAGCTGCCCAGCTAAGCCCCCAGGCCTGTGGTTTGCCTCCTGGCTACTTGTGTCTGTACAGGGGTCTCCCAGTCTCTCTAATGGGCTTCCCATTTTGCCTCTGTGTGGGCAGCCTGTAGCCCCAGGAGGTGCGCAGGGGTTCCAGTGGCCCAGGAAGCCCCCCTGTCCAGGGCAGGCTTGGATGGTAACAGCGGTTCCTCATCCTGGGCCATAACATGAGGGCATCTGGGCTGTGCCAGGCACAGGTTTACCTACATGTCTAGCAAGGGCAGCTGGGGGATACTGACTGGCCATGGGGGTCCCTAGATTGTCCCGAGGGCCGCTGGGGGCTTGGCTGCCAGGAGATCTGCCCCACGTGTGAACATGGCGCTGGCTGTGACCCCGAGACCGGAGCCTGCCTGTGCCGCCCGGGCTTCGTTGGCTCCCGCTGCCAGGACGGTGAGTGTGGCTCGAGCCCTGACCTCAGCTGCTGTGAGGTGTTCATGGCCCCCACGCTCACCCCTGCGCTCTGCCCGCAGCATGCCCAGCAGGCTGGTTTGGGCCTGGCTGCCAGATGAGGTGCTCTTGTGCCAACGACGGGCACTGCGACCCAGCCACGGGACACTGCAGCTGTGCCCCCGGGTGGACCGGCCTCAGCTGCCAGAGAGGTACGGGGGCCCTCCTCACCCTGGAGAAGCCTCCACCCAGCACCCAGGAGGCTTGGAGGCCAGCAGCAGGCCCCACCCTGTCCTGAGCTGCCCCTGGGCCCATACCTGGCAGGGGTGACCCAGGGCTCTGTTGCAGCCTGTGACAGTGAGCACTGGGGACCCGACTGCAGCCACACCTGCAACTGCAGCGCAGGCCACGGGAGCTGCGACGCCACCAGTGGCCTATGCCTGTGTGAGGCCGGCTATGTGGGCCCGCGGTGTGAGCAGCGTGAGTCCTGGCTTGGCTTTTGGCCGTGCACACCCACCCCCGAGCACACACATGCATGCACATGTGCATGCACACATGTAAGCACACATGCACACATGCATGCACGCACATGCCTGCTCACATGTATTAATGTGCACACGTGCACTGCCACTGGGGGCCCTGGCCCTACCTTCCTGTCCTCACCTGAGCTTCCCCAGTTCTCCCTCCACAGCCTGGACCAAGTCCCCACTCTCCCACCTGCCCACACCAGACATAAGACTTACCTGGAGCAGAGGCCGGGAGGGGCGGGGCCTGTCACCTGGCACCTGGGGGTGGGGAGATGGTGGCTTAGGGCTGGGGGCCACGCCCTTCAGTGCGTGCTTCCTAAGGCAGGGTTGGCGGGTGAGAGTGGGCCTGGGGCAGGTGGTCCTACAGGCAGCCCATGTGAGGACCCCTACCCTTAATGTGAAGCCCAGGGGCTTCAGGCTGCAATGCTCCTAGCTGGGGGTGGGGCATGCGTGTGAGTGAGCCAAGTCCCCGGGTAAGGGGAAGCTTCTTGAGCCAGGCCCTGCCCCACTGTCCGGGGCCCTAACTGGGGATGGCGGCAAAACCAGATGGGGCTGGGTCAGCCTCTCAGACCCTGGCTGACGCTGAGCCGGGGCTACGTGTCTCAGGGTGTCCCCAGGGCCACTTCGGGCCTGGCTGTGAGCGGCGGTGCCTGTGTGAGCATGGGGCAGCCTGTGACCACGTCAGCGGGGCCTGCACCTGCCCGGCCGGCTGGAGGGGAACCTTCTGCGAGCATGGTGAGCCGGGGTGCAGGCCGGGCATGGGCCAGGGGCCTCGAGTGTGGGGCAGAGTCCCTGGATCTTGGGCACCTCCCCATCACCTCCTTTGTCTGCAGCCTGCCCGGCCGGCTTCTTTGGGTTGGACTGCCGCAGGGCCTGCAACTGCACTGTGGGAGCCACCTGCGATGCCGTGAGTGGCTCCTGCTTCTGCCCCGCCGGCCGCCGTGGCCCCCGCTGCAGCCAGAGTGCGTGAGGTCCCTGCTCAGCCCCGGGTACTGCAGGAGGGGGTGCCAGGTCCTCCATGGGAGACTCACTTCTGGGTCCCGTCCTGGGTGTCCAAAGCTGCCAGGCGGCCACCCTGAGAACACTGCTTTGCCCACAAGGCTGTAGTGTTGGTCCCTTTTTGTGGCCACTCTGCTGAGTGGGTGACCCAGGGCAGAGGGAGAGTAGAATTGAGCACAGCAGCCCCAGGGACCCTGGCACATCTGCCCAGCTGCCTGAGATCTCCCAATGCACCTGCTCCCGGGGTCCCTTCTGCGCCAGGCCCCTGACTGCCCATCTCCACCTGCAGCCTGCCCAGCCCTAACCTATGGGCACAACTGCAGCCAGGCCTGCATCTGCTTTAACGGGGCATCCTGTGACCCCGTCCATGGGCAGTGCCGCTGTGCCCCTGGCTGGATGGGGCCCACCTGCCTGCAGGGTGAGTCCAGCAGTCCAGAGAGCAGGGTCCAGGCCTGGAGGATGACATTTGCCTCTTGCTGGGCCCGCATGGGTCACGTGGTCGTGGGAGGCTAGGGTGGGTGGAAACCTCACCTGGAGCAGTAGGCAGGGAGGGGCGGGGCCTGCGGCACCCCATAGAACACCTGGAGGGGGAGGTGGTGGCTTAGGACTGAGAAGACACCCTTCAGTGTGTGCTCCCCAAAGCCGGGATGGTGGGCGTAGGGTGGGCCTGGGGTAGGTAATCATGGCAGTAGCCCCAGGCAAGGCTCCTGTCCTCAAATTGTGATGTTGGGCCTTGGGATGGCTGGCGAGCCCCCTGAATCATGGGGGACCCGCTGGCTGGACGCTACAGGTGGCTGCCTTCCCGCTCTCCCCTGCCCCCAGCCTGCCCCACCGGCCTGTACGGCGAGGACTGTGGACATTCCTGCCTCTGCCAGAACGGAGGGACCTGCGACCCTGTCTCAGGCCACTGTGAATGCTCAGAGGGCTGGGCTGGCCTGGCCTGTGAGAACGGTGAGCAGAGGTGGCAGAGCTGGCCGTGCGGGTGTGGTCCTACCCGGCGGCCTAGGAGGGCCCCTGGTTTCAGGGGGCAGTGTCCTGGGAGTGGCCAAGGGCGCCTCTCCTTCCAAGGCTAGTCCTTAAGGACACAGGAACCAGGGCTCAGGTGCAGGAAGCACAGGCCAGTGTCTCCTGAGTCTGCGGGGACAGTCCTGCTCCAGGAGGCGGGACCCTCACCCTTGTCCCCGTCCCTGTAGAGTGCCTCCCTGGGCGCTTCGGAGCTGGCTGCCAACACAGCTGCAGCTGCGAAAACGATGGCCTCTGTGACCGGCACACGGGCCGCTGCCTCTGCCTGGCTGGCTGGACTGGGGACAAATGCCAGAGCCGTGAGTGGGCTGGGGGCGTCTGGGAGGCCTTGCTGGGGTCAAGGGGTGGTCTCAGCCTCGCTCCAGGGCCAGGGACCATGGCCCAGGGTGGGACCTCACCCAGGTGGTCAGTTGTGAGGCAGAGGGCAGGGGCTGATGTCTGAGCTGCCAGGGGACCCTCTGGGAGGGTCTTGACCCAGAAAGCTGCTTGACGGGGGTGGGGGCTGCTGCTGAGCTAGTGGGGGTGTGTGTTGGCCCCTGGACGGGTCTCTAGTGGGCAGGGACGTGTGATGCCCTCGCTGGGGATGGGAGCACAGTTCCCATCTAGCGACTCCAGAGAGGGACACTTTCACCCCTTGGTCTGAAGCCTGTGCTGGCTGGGGTTATCGCTTACTGGGCAGCAGGCCTTAGCCTCTGTACCCGCAGGGCCTTGTCACCCAGCAGGGCTGAGCCCCTTCGGAGCCTCTGTGAGGGGGCGTCAGGGTGGATGATGGCACATTCATCCCCAGCAACAGCCTCCCACCGGGGCTCGGGCTCACCAGCCCCTCTTCCACCCCGTGAAAGGTACAAAGTCAAAGTGTAAGGTAGAATGGTACCACCTTGAGGGAAAAGCTAAGTCTATAACAGGAAAAAGGAAACACGTGTGGGAAAACAGGTGTACTCCTCCCAGCCACTCGGAGTGCAGAGAATCTCAATGAGGAAGTTCGCAGACAACCACCTCAGCTTTCTCCATAGTAATCTGTGTCCAAAACAAGTACAATAATAGACACATAAATTCATAAAACAAAAGAATACACAGTCATGTCAGCACAGCTATGGGTAATGGCCATGGAAATATATTCATGCGCAACTCAAAAAAAAAAAAAAAAATAGAACACCAGCTACAGTTCAAGGCTCTTTATTTAAAAGACAATGTCTGTGTCTTTATGTGAAAAAAAAGAAAGGTGCACATCTCACTCAACAACAGAGCTGAGCTTGGGGTAACAACAGGATCACAGGCAACTATTTCCTTCTCTATCTGTTTCTGCATTTTCCAATTTTTCATCACAAGGAACTGTGCTATTTTCACATAAGCAATAACAACATAGAAAGAAAACAGAAAAGAAAAGAGTGCAGCCTTATAACATCAAGGTCACAGGTTTGGATCTCTGTACCGGCCAGCCTCAAAAAAAAAAAAAAAGAAAAAAAGAAAGAAGAAAAAGGAAAAGGAAGAGAAGAGAGAAAAATAAGAAAGAAAAAATAAGAAAAAAGGGCGAAGAGGAAAATATTGAAAGATCAATACAACAACTCTTTCTAATATTATGGTCGGGAAAGTTACGTTTAAATTCTCCATAAATCTGGCTGGCCCGGTGGCGCACTGCTGCAGTGCGCCGCTTGGGAGCGCAGCGGCGCTCCCGCCGAGTGTTTGGATCCCACATACAGACTGGTTCCCGCTCACTGGCTGAGCGAGGTACGGGCGCAACANCACTTTCACCCCTTGGTCTGAAGCCTGTGCTGGCTGGGGTTATCGCTTACTGGGCAGCAGGCCTTAGCCTCTGTACCCGCAGGGCCTTGTCACCCAGCAGGGCTGAGCCCCTTCGGAGCCTCTGTGAGGGGGCGTCAGGGTGGATGATGGCACATTCATCCCCAGCACTGGCACGTTCATCCCCAGCTCCAGCCTCCCACCGGGGCTCGGGCTCACCAGCCCCTCTTCCACCCCAGGGGGCAGTCCAGGCCGCCCCCTGCTCAGAGCTCAGGCCCTGGGGCTGCTGTCAGTGGGAGGCCTGGGCTGACGCAGCTCAGCCGCTGCTGGACCCTCGGGCTGGCCCAGGGTGTTCATGTGTCCCTTCGCCCGCACGGCGTCTCCCGTTCTCCTTGGCTCCCGATGGAGACCGCAGGACTCAGCCCTCCCACCCGTCTGCTTTGCCACAGCCTGTGCCGAGGGCACGTTTGGAGCTCGCTGTGAGGAGCGCTGTGCCTGTCGGCGGGGAGACACCTGCCACCACGTCACCGGGGCCTGCCTCTGTCCCCCAGGATGGAGGGGCTTGCGGTGTGAGAATGGTGAGCCCAGCCCCCAGCTCAGCCAGCACTGGGGACCAGCTGTCCGGGGCGGGGGTGGGTCCTACACAGTGACCGCCCCGAGCCCTCCCTGGCCCAAGGGTGCCCCACTGTCCCCCTCCTGCAACCCTGCCCAGCCACGCCCTTCCCGCAGCGTGTCCACGCGGCTGGTTCGGAGAGGCCTGTGGCCAGCGCTGCCACTGCCCGCCTGGTGCCCCCTGCCACCACGTCACTGGGGAGTGCCGCTGTCCACCCGGCTTCACTGGGCCCGGCTGCGAGCAGGGTAGGTTCTCCCACAAACCTTTACCCACAGAGGGGGCCAGGCGGGGTGACTCCTGGGCTGGGCCAGGACTGACCCCCGTCCCGCCTGCTCCCAGCCTGTCTGCCCGGCACCTTTGGGGAGGACTGTGGGCGCATGTGCCGGTGTCCCGGCGAGAACCAGGCCTGCCATCCTGCCACGGGGGCCTGCGTGTGTGCTGCTGGCTACCACGGCACCGGCTGCCAGCAACGTGAGTGTCGTCCGTGCCTACCGTGCTGGGCCCCCGGCCCCCAGTCCTCAGGAAGGCCCCTGTCTGAGGGGGTGGAAGGTGGGGTGTGTGGGGGCCTCACGGGAGTTGCCTTGCTGTGTTTAGGGGTGCCAGGGGCAGTCTCCAGTCCCCCGGCCCCTGGCAGCTGTCCCTTGTCCCTGCAGGATGCCCGCCTGGGTGGTACGGGCCAGGCTGTGAGCAGCTGTGTGGGTGTCTCAACGGGGGCTCCTGCGATGTGGCCACGGGGGCCTGCCGCTGCCCCACGGGGTTCCTCGGGGCCAACTGCAGCCTCAGTGAGTGGCCGGGTGGCAGGGCTGGGCCACTGTGTCTCCAGTGGGCAGGGTACTGCCAGCCAGCCAGAACCCGAACTGCCTACCTCTGTACCCCCTTCCACCCCCCTCTGCTGGGCCTGGCCCCGGGCTGCTGCTGCTCCCTGGCAGGAAGGGCCCACAGCCCTGGGGGTGTCCGTGTGATCCCACCCGTCCTCTGGCCAACTCCTGCCCAGCCTTGTGCTGTGCTCAGCGGGAGCTGGGAATGTGCACCAGGGCAGAGTGAGCACTACTGTGCACGAGCGTCCTGCCGAGCGAGGGGCCTTTTCCTGGGTCATGTCGGCACTTTCCCCGTCTGGGACCCAGGTGGAGCTGGCGGGGGCGGGTTGGGAGTGGGGTGAGTCCCTGCAGCACAGGCCAGCTGGCCTCCTGTGGAGGAGACGCTGCGGTGGGCGGGGCATGGGAGCCGGCCGACTCCACCCTGTCTGGGGCAGACGCAGAGTCCCTGTGGCTCCCCTGGCCTCCATCTTGCCTTGGGGGCTGGCACTGCAGGAGGGAAGGTGGCCTTCCTCACCTGCTCCCTCCCCGGCAGCCTGTCCACAGGGCCGCTTCGGCCCCAACTGTGCCCATGTGTGCGTGTGTGGGCAGGGGGCGTCCTGCGACCCTGTGACCGGCACCTGCATCTGTCCCCCGGGGAGGGCCGGCGTCCACTGTGAGCACGGTGAGTGCTGCTTCAGGGGATGGGGCACGTCAGCACTTTTCAGAGCTTGCTTGATTAGCCATGAGAGAGGCCAGTGGGGGGAACCCAGACCCCAGGGGTACATTCACACCGGCACTGCCGTTGGGGACCCATGTGGCCCTGGGGTTAAGAAGCAGGTGCCCTTGCTGGTGTTGACAGTGCTGCCTCACTTGTGGGGACAGACTGTCCCCTGCCACCCCAAGCCCTGTCTTGACTGCCTGGGTCCCCGTGGCTCAGGCTCCTGAGTGACCTGTCCACGTCCCTGCGGCTAGTGGGGGCTGGAGGTTCCGACCCACAGCCCTGCTGGCCCCTAGCAGGACGGGTCTGTCAGCTGTTTTCTGTCTGGGGATGGAGTCAGCTTCCTGGCTGATGTCCCCTTGGAAGAGGGTCCTCCTGGCCCTTTTCACCAGGCCTACGGACCAGGGACCCCAGTTAGGGGGAAGCCTGGAGCACAGGCCAAAGTGGATAAATGGGGTGGACACTGGGGGTGGCTGTGGCGACTCCTGGTCATGATGACATACCCAGTCCCCACAGCCACATCCACAGCCTCGCGGCCTGGCCCCCATTCTCAGTCCTTGTCAGGGGGCTGCCACCCCCACCACAAGTTCTTAGCGTGGGGGATGCTTGGGAGCTGGTGGCAGCAAAGGATCAGAAGCCCAGGGACCAGGCTCCAGCCAGGACACAGTGGCCCCGCCTCATTCCCAGGAAGGACGACAGCCATCGGGTTAGTCAGCAGATGTCAGGTTATAAACAGAAGGGCCACAGAGGAGCCACCTCTGAGTTCACGGATGTCCAACCATGCTGCTTCTCGGGTCTGGAGGATGTGATTTTGCTTCCAAGATGGGCCTGTGCACAACACGCCTCCGCCTCCAGGAAGCCTTCCCTGACCCCTCCCCACCGGCTGGGCAGCTGCTCAGATTCCCTGGAAGGTCTCGGCCCCTTTGTCACCGAGTCATCCTCAGCTCCTCGACCAGGACTGGGGGTGTTGCCTGGGACCATGAGTGAATGAACAGGGCTGTTGGGGGACGTTCCGGGCAGCGCTTGCCTTCCGCCCCCCAGGCTGTGCCCAGGACCGGTTTGGCGTGGGCTGTGAGCGCGAGTGTGTCTGCAGAAACGGGGGCCGCTGCCATGCCGCCAACGGCAGCTGCTCCTGTGGCCTGGGCTGGACGGGGCCACGCTGCGAGCTGGGTGAGCGTGTGGTGCCAGCTGGGCATGGAGGGAGGGCCGTGCCCTGGGCTGGGGGAGCAGTCCTGGACGGGAGGGGCTTGGGAGACTTGAGCGGAGCTCCTGGGCCGCCTTAGGGCTGGGCAAGGCTACCGGCGTCACCTGAATCAGGCTAGTGCCCGAGGGACTATTCCTCTTGGCCCCCATCCTTCCTCCCCTCTCCCCAGCCTGTCCCCCTGGGCGCTACGGAGCTGCCTGCCGCCTGGAGTGTTCCTGTCACAACAATGGCACATGTGAGCCCACCACGGGGGTCTGCCACTGCGGCCCGGGCTTCTATGGCCAGGCCTGTGAGCACCGTGAGTCTGGGGCCCGGACCCCTGCCCAGTCGGGCCGCTGCAGGCAGCTGTCCATCCATCTGGAGGATCTGGGGGGGCTGGGGCTGGGAGCAGGGGCTGGGGAGAAACGAGGAAGCGTGGGAGGGGGCTTCTCGTGGGGCCCCCATCCTCAGTCCTTTGCTCCCTCCGGACAAACTGGAGGTTTCTGCTGCCTGCCCTCGGCTCGCTCTGACTAGGGTCCTCCTTCAGCCTGTCCGCCTGGCTTCCATGGTGCTGGCTGCCAGGCAGCGTGTGAGTGTCAGCACGGAGCCCCTTGTGACCCCATCGGCGGCCAGTGCCTCTGCTCTGCCGGCTTCCAGGGCCAGTTCTGTGAGAGGGGTGAGTGCTCCGTGCCCCCACGGGCTACTCATCCTGTTCCCCCCGACCCTGGCCCTGTCTAGTCCAGATGCAGGACAGGAGGGTGATACTGACCCACTGCCCCCACCAGGGTGCGAGCCAGGCTCATTCGGAGAGGGCTGCCGCCAACGGTGTGTCTGTGACAGGGGGGCACCTTGTGACCCTGTCACTGGCCTCTGCCTTTGCCCGCCAGGAACCACAGGAGCAATGTGTGAGCTGGGTGAGTCTGGGGTATTGCCAGGAGGGGGATGTGGGTGTGGATCTCCATCGGCGGCCAGTATCAACTGCATTGGTTGAGCCCTGTCTGTGCCAGCCCCAGGCTGAGCACTGTGCCCTTCCGGGGCCTCTGCATCTGGTGGGGGTGACACTACTGGGACACGTGTGAACACAGTGCTCCTGCTGGAGCTGTCAGGGCCAGACCCTGCCCTGTGGCCACCCACTGAGTCCCCAGGAGGCCTTCCCAGGGTTGGGGGCTGCTGTCACAAGAGAAAGCCCCAGTTAGGTGCAAAGACTTCTGTGATCTGCCAGCCGGGGCTGCGGGCATCGAGGGAGCTGTGAGCCCTGTGGATGAGAGGGCCCACCTGAGGACAGGAGGGGCCGTCCTGCTTGGGCTGCACACTAACCTCCTTGTGGCTTTTGGGTCTGTTGTGCCCTGGAGGGAGTGTCCCCAAGCACTAGGCTTCCTTTGCCCCCGGGGGTTTGTGATTCTGGGTATGTGCCCAGGGTCCAGCGCTTTTCCACGCAGGAACTTGTGGGCTACAGCGCACTGTTCAGTAAGGTGTGGCAGGAACTGTGATACTCCTCAGGGGAAACTGAGGCCTGAGGTCTCAGCTTCACACACCCCACATGGAGGGCCTCACCCCACCCAGGCCCTCTGCCAGTGGCTCCCATGGCTGGGGTCCCTGGCCCGGGGCAGGATGCTCAGGGCTCTCTCCTGCCCCTGCAGATTGCAGAGGGGGCTACTTTGGGCCGGGCTGTTCTCTGCGCTGTGACTGCGGGGGTGGATCTGACTGTGACCCTGTCAGTGGGCAGTGCCACTGTGTGGATGGCTACATGGGGCCCACGTGCCGGGAAGGTGAGTCGGGCTTCCCAAGGGAGGGTGCGAGGCCACCAGGCCTCCCCAGCCCCACCCCTGGCCGAGGACCTGTCCTCCCCCTACCCCACTGCAGAGTTGGCTGGACCAGGCTAGCCAGAGTGAACCTCAGCTATCCCTGCCTGGTATCTGTGTCCAGTCGGCTTCTGATGGGCGAGGGGTGAGCTCACAGCCACTTAGCCTGCCCAGAGCAGCCCTCTCCTCCAGGCCCAGACAGCTGCAAGGGTGGGCTGCAAACTGCAGCAGGAGCCTGCAGACAGTTGTGACCCCAGGGGCAGGGCTGGATGGTCCTCAGTGTGGCAGGTGCTGCCCCTCCCTGCTCCGCATGCGTCTGTGGGCGCCAGGGTGTGCACGTTGGCCAGCACATGCATGCACCAGTGGGTGCCAGTACATATGTGTGCAAACGTGCATGCATGTGCACCACCAGCCTCTGTGTACCAGTGCATGTGTGCAATACGTGTGCAGGAATGTGCATGCTGTAGTAAGCTCCTGTACCAGGTGTGTGTGTGCACCAGGTGTCTGCGCATGCTCTACCGCATATGTGTCCACTAGGCACATGTGCTCGTGCCCCAGCGTGTGCATTAGGCATGTGTGCATCGGGCACATGTGTGTGCTCCAGTGCATGTGTGTGCACACCAGGCTGCAGTGCCTTGCCTGTGGCTGCATGCACCCACATGCAGAGTTGGGGAAGGTGGCCCCTGATGTGCCCTCCAGCCGCAGGCAGAACTTGGGGGTGCCCCGCCCCTCTAGCCAGCCTAGTCTTTGCTGGTGCCCCCAGTCAGCTCCCCAGGCCCAGCCTGCTGCAGGTGTTGGGAAGGGTCTCTGCAGAGGCGGTGGGAGGCAGGTGAGAGCCTGCTACGGGCCTGTGTGGGGCAGGACGTGCAGACAGGCAAAGGTGAGGAGCCAGCCCACGGCTCTGCAGTGTGGCTGAGTGTGGATTCCCAACTGGGGGTCCTCGGCTTGGGGGACCCAGATACGGTCCCATTACTGTGTATGTGCATCCTTTTGAGCCTCTCCAAGGCAGCCCTGGCCGCAAACTGTTCAGAGCTGTAAAGATAAGGAGCCCCTCCCACAGCAGGGCCGGGGGGGGGGGGGGGGGGGG